TATAAACGAAAAGTACAGAAGTAATACAAAAATATCACTGTTGCAATTGTAGCCTAATGAGATGCGTTTACGTAATACCAGTTGGGGCACAAATTACAGATTCTTTACAAATTAAAAATGAAAATTTACTTAACTTAGCAAGTTTTATAAATTGGTGTACAAAATTACTCTGACATGGCAGAAACTTTTGAAAACTGCAGCTCTTGAAAGGCATCTGGTCACTATTTTTACCACAACAAAGTTATCAAATATATAAAATTTAAATGTTAGCAAGTATTAAATAGATTCTGTCATGGTACTATCAAACATATATCTAGTTAAGGCAGAACTTCAGCAATGTAATTCTGATATTTTTTTTCTATTTTGGTCTGTCAGTCATTTAGGAACTTACTTATTAGATAAAAATATTTATCGTAAGAACTTTTGAGAACCTGGCGCTTCCCTCATAGTCTGTGTTTCATCTGCTTGAGTTAATAACACCAGAAAATGGATTATCGAAGGACAGAACTAGAGAGAAGATTTTATATGTTCTGTTCACCAAATGCACAAAATGAAAAACTGTCAGAGTCGGAACAATATTGTTGTCGTAGTTGTTAAAAAAGGCATAAAAAAAAGGATTTAAAACACGACAACCCAATTAATGATCTACCAGTTGTATGTAAACTTTTTTAGTTTTTTTTATTCATACAAGCTTTTCAATATGTAAAATAAATTTTTCATTCATATAAATTTCTTCCTATATGTATTTTTTTTAATCGATACAAGCCTCGTCTTACAGGATGGTCAGGAAGGTACTAATCGTATTCTTAGAATTCAGCAGCTAGTGGATTACTCTATAACCTCGGTGGGATGACAGGCTGCTCCACTATTGACAAGAGAAATCGAGTATGTGCTCATTTATTGCCGAGTTCAAGAGCTAGTGTATAACAGAAGAACCCAAGCTCCTCATCATTATCCTCATGTTTTAAGGTTAATATTTAAGCGTCCAAATCAGTTGCGAACTTGAATAAAGACTCTCCGTTGTTTCCATTTTCCGTGTGATTTTATCAAGATATATATATATATATATATATATACATATATATTCATATATATATATATATATATATATATATATATATATATATATATATACTAGCCGATATAAACATAAATCTCAATCTTTAACAACAGTATCAACTAACGTAGACCTTCACCGCACACACACACCCACGTTCCCAGCCTGTGTGTGTGTGTAACCAACTGGCAACCTCATTAGTCAACTCCACTGGTTTGCCTCTCCCCTCTACGTTACAACTTATACACAATAATTGTCACACAGCTGGTCCGCGAAAGTTTGTTTTACATTAAATAATTCGAACTGAAAGTAGCTAGCCATACACACGAATACTCTTGCATTTGAAAAGCACGTCTAATTACTGGAGTTATGCTGGATATGACACATTTTTAATAAAAATTCCATGAAATAATGTGTATGCGCCAGGTCGGTGGCTAAATATGCTTCCACTAAAAATAATTAGTTTATGCCTTGTTTTTCACAATTCTTTTCTCTGCGTTGTTTCATTCTTCTAGATTACTAGAACAAAAACAACTAACTTCAGTGTCTTACGCTGTCTAAGCGCATCAGAATACCAGATCTCAATTTATACTCCCATCAGACCACTTTTGTCTCCCCAAAAAGGCGACCAGGCAGTTTGTTTACAAGTTACATGATTCGAGTCACGTACCTGAAAAATGTCGACACCCTCTTTGCACCCACCTGGCTCTTCCATCATCTGGTACCTCATCTTCTGGTATCTGTTGCAGCCCTAGCAGCTGCAACACTGGCCGTAGCCTCACGAGTTGTCGTCGCAGTTGTTCGCATCATGGTAACGAATGACATCCTATCCCAGCCAGGGAGGACGATTGTTGCCAAGGATCGTCACTGCATGTCCCCCCCTTCTCCAGATTCTCAATCTCTTGGTTCACCTCCTCCAGTCTCTCAGCTAGCATCAGATCACTCCCAAATTCCAATCTCGCTGCTGGGAGAGGCGTCGCGGTGTCCATTGACGCTTATAATGACCACCGTGACTGCATTCGTGGAGAAACCCTGCAGCGATCTAATGTTTACAAAATGAATCTGGAATCTGTTTTCCTTCGCAGAGAATTTCCTTGTGTGTTCGTGAAGGACATCTGGGTTATAAATCCTAGCTTATATTTTTTTTATTCTTTGCTTTTATAAGGTATTATATTCTCAATTTGAATTAAACCCATTCTAGGAGCACAGAAAGATGCGACCAGTATGAATTATACACTTTTCTTTCCTCTTTTTTTCCCTGGTAGATGAGTTCATGAAAGGCCAGCTATCCGGCCTGCCCACCTGTCTTCTTGATTATGATAATAACATTTTGTAATTTTTAATCTCTCTAGAACCAAATATATAATGAAACTAGCTTATGATCAATGGCCATCATACAATGCTTCTTACCAAATATCATTTACCTATCGTACAGCAAACCTACTGTAAACAGTAACAGGTGTTTAAAAAAAATCATGGTGTTTATCTTACCTAATTCCTGAATAAATAAAATGTACTAAACAGGATTAGATTTTTTTTACACCCACCCCCAGACGTATTATGCGTTTGAAATTATTTTGAGCGATTCGTCAAGTCGTTAAAAGTGGAGAAAATGTAGGAGGGTTGCGGCCATTACTGAGGCGCCATCATCGTGTATTATGTGAGTAAAGAACCTGCATTCACTCAAGCTTACACTCGGCTTTATAGAAGTAAATGAGAGGCTGTTCCGCTGACGATATTGAATGAAAAACATCACAATTCGTCAAGAAAAGTGTATATATTTTAATAATTAAAAACAGTCGCTGTGTGTAGACTGACTTAGTGACTGTACTTACAGCCTAGTTATTGAAACAAAATTCATTATAACATTTCCCTGGGGCTTATCCCAGATCCATGTAATAAAAAATAAATAAAAAAAGGTTATTCTAGAATCACCAGCAAGTTAATTTAGAGAAGTTAGTCCCCTCAAATATCTATAAAACTTGGTTATTATACTGAAGAATCGAACGAGTTTCTGGATAATCACAGACATGACTGACGACCCCTGAGCCAGTACGTTACCCACAGCAACAGCGGTTGCCATGACAAAAATAACCCCTCTCAACCAAGACTCATGGCGCGAGCTGTAATCCCACCATCCTTGCACAAATCACTATGGATTACCTCCCGTTATTACTAGTGTAGTCTTGTTTTACCTCTATGATAATATCAGCTGCACCGTTATAACGGTGCAACTGTAAGTCTCGCAGCGGCAGTAGGCTACATCAGATTCAAGCCATTCAAGAGATTAATGGTACCTACTGTTCAGTACATTTTAACTGAGTTTTTAGTAGTGTTACACGATGTTTCTCTTAAATTTTGAATCATTCATGATTAGCGTACATACTAACCTAAAACGCATGTTTAAATACCTTAGTTGTTGAAGCACAGTCATACATTATAACAACATCAATGGGTGTTAATGAAAAAAATAGATTGATCGATATAAAAAAGGACAGGCAAATAAATGAAAAGACAAAACAAAAGAAATGCAAGGTAGTTCAGATGTGTGTTAGGAACTACAAGGGGAAGCTGTGTGGACAGGTAAAACAGTGTTACATTAAATATTAACATCATCGATAAATCAAAATCGTGCAAGTTTTTCTCGCGTCCGCTCTGAAGGATAACTGACTGGCGGTGTTGATGTTGATGAAAAGGCAATAATTTTTTGTTTTATCAGGACCAGCTGGTAAATATACACTTACGTACATGCATCTATACGTACAATAAATTGTTCACACACACACACACACTAAAACTAAACGATAATTATTTTTAAGTGACCAATGATATTGATTTTCTCAAAGTATCTCTCTTTCAACACACGAGTTCAACACATTTTCAAATAAAATCAGAACGTAAACTTGGTATCGCTATGGATAACAAATGTCGTCAGTTTCACCCTTGTTCCTGCATGAGATATCTCCCATCAAAAAGAATTGTGGCGGAGATAAAATTTACTCGTCGTTGATAAAAGGCTTTTGTTCTGCCCTACAGGTTAGGTGTTCAAATACTTGTTGCCTTACTTCACTTTACATTGTACAGCAAAAGAATAAGAACGTTTATTTATATTAACTTTGTATCGCAAAAACAGATGTATATTTCATTCCTATTTTTAGATTTTATTAGTTTAGACACTTTTATTAGTGTTATTTTCTTTGTGTATTTATCATTTACATATTTTGCATCTAATATTTCATTTGTTTGGTTAAGATTATTTATCATATTCTGTGTAATTATAAATGGGTAAAGAGTTCTACCTCGTAATTTTTAGTTGTTAACGAGCTACTTGTGTAATTACTTATCTTTTAACGCGATCAAAGACAGCTGTTGAAGCACATTAATGCATTATGACGTCAACAGATGGGTTTACCGATTTCATATATTTATTAAGAAAAACTAAAACAACTACTGTACTTTTTCTTCTGGGACCTTGTGAGAAATTAGGTTATTTTTCCAACAATGTCATAGCAACTTTGGAAAATATGAAGGCTAGGGTACGTGAGGCTGTTTGGAAAGTTCAATATAATATGCTACAATATGTATGGCGGGAAATATAATACCGTTTTGATGTTTGTAGAACCGCACAAAAAGGTCCGGGACAGGTGTACTTATTATGTAATCCTTGTATCTGTACTCTTTACCTGTATCTGTACTGGTTTTGTATTGACAACAAAGTGTCTATGAAGTTACTGTATTTGCACTTGTGACTGCATCATGCTTGTTCTGTAGCTGTACAGTATTTGTATATATCTTCACTTGTATTAACATCTGTGCCTGTACTTGTAAGCATACCTGTAATTGTACCTATACCTATGCTGTACTGTACATACATGTGGACCCCAATTTCTATGTACTTCATGTGTACTGTAACTATAATGTATAGGTTAGAAATATTCTCAAATTTCTTTTATATATTTTAATAGGTAAAATACACGTAAAGTCAGTTGTAAGTTTGTATCGTATCAATGTCTTCGCGTCCATATGAATGTTCTACTCGGGAACTTCTCATTTATTTAAATATATATACACAACAGGTGTTAGGAGCCCTGAAACCTTAGATACGGGTGCTGCCCCCCCGACCTATATGTCAGGTGTTGGAAGCCCCTGGAGCCTACATACCAGGGGTAAGGAACTCCTGAGGCCTTATATACAGATGCTGGTAGGCTGGGAGTTACACAACAGATGTTAAGAGTCCTTGGAACCTATACACAACAGGTGCTGGAAGCCACAGAGAAATAGATAAAATGTGCTGGGAGATCTTAAGACCTACATAACAGGTGCTGGGAGACCCTAGGACCTACATAACAGGTACTGGGAGACCCTGGGACCTACATACCAGGTGCTTGGAGACTCTGGGACCTACATACCAGGTGCTGGGAGACCCTAGGACCTACATAACAGGTGCTGGGAGACCCTGGGACCTACATACCAGGTGCTTGGAGACTCTGGGACCTACATACCAGGTGCTGGGAGACTCTGGGACCTACATACCAGGTGCTGAGAGACCCTAGGATCTACATACCAGGCGCTGGGAGACCCTAGGACCTACATAACAGGTGCTGGAAGACCCTGGGACCTACATATTGTGTTAAAAGCAGCTGAAATTTACTCAGCTGGTGTTAGAAAGCCCTGGTACTTACATAACAGGTGCTGACAGCCTTTGGGACCTACATAACAGGTGACAGAAACCCCTGGGACCTACAGGGCAGATGCTGGGTGCCCCTAGGACCTACAAAGCTTTTGCAGGGTCATGGAGTGTGGCCTTCCAGAGGGATCCTCCAACAGCGTATCCCAGACTTAAGGAGTCCTTCAAATTGGTCCTGCAGAAGCCTCCTCCAGCCTTGTCCTTCAGGTTCCTCCAGGAAGTCTCTTCCATCGTACTCCCATCTTGTCGACACTGTCAACATGAACATTTAATGGCAGCGCCATTTTCCCCGGTCCATAAATACTTCCAAATGCATACATTTATACACATTAGTACATGACATAAACTTTTTATATTTCCTCAAATACACAAATAACATTCATCAACACACACACACACACACACACGCACGTAAAACCGTCACATATACAAACTCTAGCACATACAAACACACACATATAAACACTCAAATATAACACACACACACACACACATACACAAATATGAACCCATCTAGCAGAGATTAAGACAGTGTCATTCTCACCACACGGAGCGAGGACCTTCCTGGAGCAGTTGCAGCTGAGGGGTCCTGAGGGTGCAGCTACAGAGCGCCTGGAGCACCTGTACACTCGCGTATCACCTGAGGAATGGAGAGAGGGGGGCGGGGTAGGTGAGGAGGTCTGTGTTAACGAAGGACTGGCAGGAGAAGAAGGGTGGGGGGGGTGGGGTGAAGCCAGAATCGGGTACATGACAGGAGAGATACCTGTGGTGGAGGTCCTCTCTCTCCGTCACCAGAACACACAGTTGTAGGGCAGCAAGTGACGTCTCCGTGTTACAAGTGCTGTGTAACAAGTGTCATTCTCCTACAAGGAAACGTAAGATTTTTCGTGACGTTGCTGTTTTATTAATAACGAAAAATCACTTAAATTATTAATATATCTTTCTAGATAAAGAAAATAATTTAATAAGTAAACTATACCATAAGTTACGTCTCAATATACTGCCAAGAGTATATAATATTTATTAAGCAGAGACTTCATTGAAAAGTTTAGGACTTGAAAACTCCGCCGTCGTCCTTGAAAGTCTGACGTCTCTAAGGATGAGACCTAGACCTGAGCTGATTTGTTTGTGTCAGCTTAATGTCTACAATGTTTCTGCTGCCCGAGAATTATTATTACTATTATTACACTGCCCACAGCTGAGGAGCAGAGTGTTGTTCTCGACCCTTCCCGCCTGTCTGTGTCCTCAAAAAAAAAAAAATAAATAACGCTAGAACATGCTCGAGGCTTTACACCGAACTATGAATGTTTGATCAGCTGCTGACAAGGTTGGTGCAAGTCGCTCCCAAACTGATGAAGTGTTGTCATGGTAACGGCTCACGAGTAGTGTTTACATCCGTTCCCAGTATCATATTTATTATTATTATTATTATTATTATTATTATTATTATTATTATTATTGCTACTAAGGCCAAGGGGCAGCATAACATTAATAACACTTGTGGACTTAGGCAGTATTTACTAAGACAAAATAAACACAGTTTTCAGAGTGAAATACTACACCTCAAGAACACAAACTAGAGTAAACTAAAATACAAGGTGTAATCACAAGTATATCAAGGTACTTACACAACAGTATAACACACACACACACAAAAGAATCTTACAGTGCTGGTCAGGGTAGAAGGGATGATCCGGAGGACCTCTTGAGCCTCCTGTTCTTGCTCCAGCTGCTGGGCCTCTCCACCTGTCACCAGCTGCTGGGCCTATCCACCTGTCACCAGCTGCTGGGCCTCTCCACCTGTCACCAGCTGCTAGGCCTCTCCACCTGTCACCAGCTGCTGGGCCTCTCCACCTGTCCCAGTCACCAGCTGTTGGGCCTCTCCACCTTGTCACCAGCTGCTGGGCCTCTCCACCTGTCACCAGCTGCTGGGCCTCTCCACCTGTCACCACACCTGTCACCAGCTGCTAGGCCTCTCCACCTGTCACCAGCTGCTGGGCCTCTCCACCTGTCCCAGTCACCAGCTGCTGGGCTCCACCTGTCCCAGTCACCAGCTGTTGGGCCTCTCCACCTGTCACCAGCTGCTGGGCTCTCCACCTGTCACCAGCTGCTGGGCCTCTCCACCTCTCCCAGTCACCAGCTGCTGGGCCTCGCTGCCTGTTACCAGCTGATGGGCCTCTCACCACCTGTTACCAGCTGCTGGGCCTCTCCACCTGTCACTAGCTGCTAGGTTTCTCTGCCTGTCACCAGCTGCTGGGCTTCCGTCTGTCACCAGCTGCTGGGCTCTGCCAGTCCCAGTCCCAGTCACCAGCTGCCGGGCCCTCCACCTGTCCCGGTCACCAGCTGCTGGCCTCTCCACCTGTTCCAGTCACCAGCTGCCGGGCCTCCACCTGTCCCAGTCGCCAGCTGCCGGGCCTCTCCACCTGTCCCAGTCACCAGCTGCGGGCCTCCACCTGTCCCAGTCACCAGCTGCTGGGCCTCTCCACCTGTCCCAGTCACCAGCTGCTGGGTCCACCTGTCCCAGCCACCAGCTGTTGGGCCTCTCCACGTGTCACCAGCTGCTGGGCCTCCACGTGTCACCAGCTGCTGCCCTTACCACCTGTCCTAGTCACCAGCTTCTGGCCCTACCACTTGTCCCAGTCACCAGCTGCTGGCCACCACCTGTCCCAGTCACCAGCTTCTGGTCTCTACCACTTGTCCTAGTCACCAGCTGCTGGCCCTTACCACTTGTCCCAGTCACCAGCTGCTGGCCCTACCACCTGTCCCAATCACCAGCTTTTTGGCCTCCACCTGTCACCAGCTGCTGGGCCTCCATGTCACCAGCTGCTGGGCTTACCACCTGTCCTAGTCACCAGCTTCTGGCCCTACCACTTGTCCTAGTCACCAGCTGCTGGCCCTACCACTTGTCCCAGTCACCAGCTGCTGGTCTCACCACCCTGTCCCAATCACCAGCTTTTGGGCCTCCACCTGTCACCAGCTGCTGGGCTCTCCATGTGTCACCAGCTGCTGCCCCTACCACCTGTCCTAATCACCAGCTTCTGGCCCTTTCCACCTGTTCCAGTCACCAGCTGCTGGCCCTTACCACCTGCCCTAATCACCAGCTTCTGGCCCTTTCCACCTGTTCCAGTCACCAGCTGCTGGCCCTTACCACCTGCCCTAATCACCAGCTTCTGGCCCTTTCCACCTGTTCCAGTCACCAGCTGCTGGCCCTTACCACCTGCCCTAATCACCAGTTACCGGGGCTCCCCATCTGTCCCAGTTGGTAGCTCCTTTGATTCACCACCTGTCCCAGTCACCAGCTGCTGGGCCTCACCACCTGTCTCAATCACCGGCTGCTGGGCCTCACCGCCTGCCCCAGCCACCAGATGCATGACTTCGCCACCTGTCTCAGTCACCAGTGGTCGTGCCTCACCAAATGTCTCGGTCATCAACTGCAGCATTTTACCTCCTGTTCCAATCAATGTTCCAGTCACCAGCTGCTGGACCTCGCCATCTGTCCCGATCACCAGCTGCAGTGTTTCACCATCTGGATGGTTGTCTGAGGGGTATTGATAATTGCGTCTCAGAGTGGCGGAGTCAGCCAACAGCGTGAGACTTAATGACGTCACGTTTGTTTACAGTGAGGCATTCTGGGAAGGATGCAGCTTGTCCAGGCGCCCTAGTACCGCATGATCTATCTGACACGGACTCTTTAAGCTTGATGCTTGAGCGATTTGTCGACATTATTCTGACACTCTAACTGCCATCACGCTTGACACCTCAGCTACAAAGCTTAGATTCGAGAAAGTCGGCGGAGGAAGTTATTACATTTATCAAAAGTCATTAATAATACAAGGTAAAACAATTATTTCTTTCGGATCACCTGAAGATTATATACCCCAGCTTATTTCACCTGATGATCAAACGCCCTAATGCTGCCCGGGGGTAGGTTAGGTGAGGTTAGGGTTAAGGTGTTTAATCAACAGGTGAAATAAACAGGGGTGTATAATATTCAGGTGATCCTTTCATTGATAATTACGTTTTCTTCCCTGATATACACTCGCCTCCCACACTGCTGCACGGCTGGAGTGGACCACGAGCCTCACCAATGTGCTGGTCCACTGGTCAGGTGGCCCCACACCGGGGGATTTCCCTCAAACATAAACACGTATAAAACATAGAGAAAATTCTCAAAAAAATGTTTCGTGATAAACAAAAGGTGACGTCATTAAGTCGTAGCGCCATAGTTATTATTAAATTATATATATATATATATA